TCAAAATAATGTAAAAATTTTATCATCATATGATTCAAACTCATTTGTATCTTCCAAATCTGTTTCAATCACTACATTTTTCTTCTTATCATATATATTAATTAACATTAAATCCAATAAAAAGTAAAATAAAATAACAAATTAATAACATGATCAAGTAACCATACTTAAATTACCTTTTAATTTTTTCCGGCATTGAATCATATATATATATATATATATGTATATATACATATATATATATATATATATGATTCAATGCCGGAAAAAATTAAAAGGTAATTTAAGTATGGTTACTTGATCATGTTATTAATTTGTTATTTTATTTTACTTTTTATTGGATTTAATGTTAATTAATATATATGATAAGAAGAAAAATGTAGTGTACATACATGTATCTATACATACATGTACATACATGTATGTATATACATACATGTATACATGTATATATATATATATATATATATATACATATATATATATATGTAAAAAAAATCAAAATTTAGGTGTTGGATGTAGATAGATGTAATTACACATTAATTTAATTTGGTGAAAAACAAAACAGAATTTTGAATCACCAATACAAATGTGCTATAAGCTAAATATATAAAATTTTATCTGATTTGTTCTCTTACGAGAACCCAACGCCAGTAGCGATCGAACTCGTGACCTAAGGGGACTTACAGTCAATCCCTCCAACCAATATATATATAATACACAACTCTACATATATATATATATATATATATATATAAGACATATAATATAATTTAATATAATATTTTATTTACTTAGCATGATTGAGGTGCCTCCTCAAAAAACTTGAGACGACGGTGAGGCTTAACCTTATAGGGGCATTGTGCATCTTAGTTTGAGGAGTTCCTCGAATTCCTTTTTAAATAAGAACTATAACACCTTGCTTTAGCTCTATTTTTGAGGTTGTTCGCTAGTATGACTTATTGGCAGCTAGCATATGTTCATTTTTAAAAATATTTCCATTGCTTGTTGCTATATTGTAGTGATATTGCAGTACTTTTGAGAATATGTGCTAAAACTGTGAATGGCCTATTTGGCCCTCTACAATTCTCGATTAGGTAGTTTATTAATTTTTTTGATATTCTAAGACAAATGTAAATAGATACTTAAGATGCGTAGGGAAGATAAATCTAAGGCTGGTGAAATTTGCTATTAAATACTGTTACATCGGTGCCTAGCAAATTTTGTCTTTTATGTGCCTAAGAATTTAGTCTTTTATTATTTATTTTTGTTTAGTATAAATATACCCTAATATGTTTACAATTAGGTATGAATGAGATTGAGTCTTGTATCTTAGGTTAGGGTTTGGGGAGATATTCTACCTCTAGAATTACAGAAATTGGGAGAGACCGCCTACCTCTCAAACTTCATCTTTGCATTCATGTTACGTTGTTTGTTGATCGTGAAAAAAAAATATAATTTACCCTAATTTCTATGTGAAAAATCGTATTGATTGCAATTAACTGGTGAGCATTGACCCGTAAAAAAGAATGTTAATTGTTCACATAGGATCGAAAGTGCTAGTAAGAAAATGACGACAGGATCGCGACTTACATATAACCGAAATTCCTTTCTGTAGCAGGAGGGAACGACACGCTCTTGCAGACCGAGGATAGAGATACAGTCACGATTGGAGCGAGATGTTTGTCACCATTGTGAACGAACATTGCGATACAGTCGCGACTATAGCATATTGGGAAGGCGATGAAGAGATCATAATCACGGTTGGAGCTAGTTGCCTGTCGCCTTCACATCCGAGCCTTGTGATAAAGTCACGATTAGAGCTAGGTGAGAAGGCAACAACAGGATTGTATAGCGCCGTGAAACAAAAGGGATCGCGACGTAAATTCATCTTTGTTGCACTGAACCACGCAAAACATACTCGATCATAGCTAGCGGAAAATACTGCAACAGGATCGGACGTGCCCTAATCTTGATTCAAGAATTAAGCGACCAAATACAAGGGTGGAGGGTGTCCTAGTGACAAAAAGTAATGACAACCAAGAAAATAAAAAAAATTGGTGAAGAAATCGGAGGAAGATATGAGTCAAATAAGATCTAGAATAGACGAAAGATTCTCCACCATAGAAGAAAGGTTTTCTTAAATGGAAAATTGATTTGATGGTCGATTCAAGAGCTTGGAGGAGATATTGAGGAAGTTTTTTGAGATGCAATCCAAAACCACATCGACAATTCAATTTGCAAACCCTAGCCAAGGGGTGATCGGAGAAGCCTTGGCTAAATCGAAAAAGAAAGAGATCTAACAAGAGGAACACAAGAAGGAAAGCATCCCCAACATCAAGAGCCCCTCCTCGGGCTCTAATTTAGAGTGGACTAGAAATTTTGCATTTGCGTCGAAACATGCAGAAAATATTATGTAATGAATATGGAGAAGCACAAAGAAGAAAAAGAAGAAGCAAGGTTGGGATATGACTATAATCAAAGGAAGAAGTTTTACCCTCGAACATAGGGGAAACAATAGAGGAAGTAGAGGCAGAGATATTAGACTTAATAAGTTGAAGATGTTGATCTTCAAGGGGGAAGACACACATGGGTGAGCGTACTAGGTGGAGCGATATTTCACGATAAATAAACTAAATGGGAAGGACAAGCTCATGGCGGCATGGTTATGTTTGGAGGGGAAAATCCTAGCATGTTTGAGTTAAGAGAGACTGGAAACCCAATCCGCTTGTGGGAAGAATTTAAGAATTGTTTGTTGGAATGTTTTCGAGCCATTCGAGAAGGAGACCTACCTGAGCAATTATTTGTATTGACTCAGGAAGGAACTGCCATGGAGTATAGGGAGAGAATTGAGCTCTTATCAAGACGGCTGAGGGGTAAAGCAGTATTGAAGGGGAACTTCATAAAGGGTCTAATGTCCGACATACGTGCAACACTTCAACCTCTTAAACCGTGAGGCTTTGGAAAAATTATGGAATTAGCGCGGTTGGTTGAAGGTCGTCATGTCATGAAACGGGCTAATAGGAGCAGCACCTGTGGATAGATATACCAAGCTACTACAACCAGCAAGATTCCAAAATCTCAAATAGTTGAAGTTTAGAGGGAGGCTTCGCAGAACAAAAATCATGGGTCGTGATCAAGAGCAACAATCAAGTTCCTTACAGAGACAGATTCAAAAAAAAATTAAAACAAGGGGTTATGTTTTTAGTGTGATGAAGAGTTTACCCTAAGACACTGTTGCGAGGATCGAACATTACATGTTCTCACAATATGTGACGAAGAGGCAAATGATGAAAAAACAAAGACGGTAGTGGAGGAAGAACACCCTCAGTTTTTCCCGTCTTGAAGATAAAGTGTGTGTGTGTGTGTTTTTTGAGGTGGGAGTATTGTTACGTAGGTATTTAGCCTAAGAACAATTTTTTCTTTTGTGTGCCTAAGGAAAATTTTGTCGTTAATTATTTATTATTGTTTAGTATAAATAGACCATAATAGATTGAGGCTTCAATCATTGATTTAAGGTTTGAGAGAGATTTCCTACCTCTTAAATTATAGGAATCAGAAGAGATCGCCTACGTTTCGACTTGTAGGTGTTTATCTTTGTATTTGTGCTGAGTTGTTTGTTGATCTTGCAATAAAATATTATTTGCCCTAATTTTTGTGTAAAAAATCATATTGATTCCTATCAAATACACAAATAATTGTTCTCCTTTAGGGACTTGATCCCTCGGCCAAGCGTAAAAAATGAAGATCTTTAACAGAGGTTGTCTCCTTGTACCAAGTATGATGTCCACTTTTTGATGGCATCATTCATTTATTTTTTCACCTTTCTCTATGTCTATCATATAATCATCATTTCCCCATTGCCACAAAAAGTGATTGACTATTATAATATTTGCAAAAACCTAATCACCATTAGAATTTATACCTTAACTTTCTCGTTAACAATTCCTAGAAGACCAAAAATCTTCTCATCTAAATTAAAATTTTAAGATTTTTATGTTTTCATTAAAAGTAGATGATAACATTTTAAGATAAGTAACATGTTCCTTACCAAAGAATGCAAGTTACAAATATTGGTTGATGGCATGTAAATTTACATTGCATGCTAAATTTATATAGAAAACCAAGATCCCCAGAAACTCCACACAAGCTAATCCTAAAATTAGATCCATCTTTTTTTAGTTGAAACATTACTTCTAGATCATCTGAAGCTCCAAAACAATATCTTGCAACACATTTTCTTCAAGCGTTGATCACATGTGCCATTGCTTGTTGACCTTCTCAAACAAACATTATTGCAGCTTTTACCCTCAAAAGAAACCTATATCATCCCACTTGTTTATGTTATCCTAATCAGCGTACCACCTCTTGAGATTCTATAACAATATGTTACCACCATATCCACAATTTGTTTTTCTCACACAGCTCATGACAACCAATGACTTCTAAGAAAAAAATAGGATGCTCCAATTGCTATAAATTATTTATGTTTGTCAACTCATCTCCTTGTGTTCCATTGTTTTGGAAAAAGAGCCCTCTTTCATGAGTGTTACGGTTGGGAGAAGTGTCATTCTGTGATGTTGCTTTTTACATCTAGAAAGAAGTAAAGGATTTATAGCAATTGGAGCATCCTTTTTTTTTCGAAAAAAAAACTCATTCATTAAAATAGAAATTGAAGCATCCTTTTTTTTTCAAAAAAAAAAAATAAACTCATTCATTAGACCAAGTTCTTAGGTATGACAGTTTACTTTAAGATCACTTGTTTTATTTGCAATTTCTAATATTATCTCATTTCATTATGCTATTTTTAGGTTGGTTTGTCTCAAAAAAAAATAATGATAAATAAAAGCCAGAAAAGTTCAGGTGACATCAGCCCCAAACCACATAAATTCATGATGTTCTACATGGTAAGTGTATCTTCTATCAATAGAATTACTAAAAATATCATTAGGAATATGGGGCCAAACTATTTGAAGGAAAAAGAGAGTGAGAGAGCATACAGATTCAATTGCTTGAAGAAGTCGACGACACATTCCTTGGCGTCTATACATACTCCTCGTCCCAATGAAAGGCATTTCAGCTAGCCTGGTCCCATGTATTCTGTTATGTGGGAGGAAAAATTAGTTATCGTTGGGTAAGTCAATATTTTAAGTCAGTTTTAGGTCAAAATAAAAAATAAATAAATAAATAATTACCTCACAGATGCGGCACAAATAATTTCATCGCTTCTTTCTAAGGTGAAAGTATAAAATCCACTGTAATTAAGTCGATTGAAATTCGACCTGTAAGACATGAAAATTACTAGGTAAATTCCCCATAACCCAAAGAAAACAGTATAGGAAAAACTTACAATAGCTTAAATAAGATCACCAAAAAAGAGAGCCAAAAAAAAAAAAAAGAGAGAGAGAGATGAAGAGAGAGAGAGATGATTATCCATCCAGCTTTCTTTAAACAGCTAAATGATAACAGAGCTCCATGAGTATGGATCAGATACAAATCATAACGAAACTGAAAAAGGAAATAATCAATACTTAAAGCATTAATAGTGATTAGGATTGAAAGTTATCTAGAGAATGTTAATTCAAAAGACACCCCTCAACTTGATGTATCCTGTACAAGTAGCATGCTTATCTTAATGAGCGTTTTACCCAGAGCACCAAACATTGGTCCTTCTGACACTGTAAAGAACACAAGCCAAGAAATGGATAACATAATAGCACGAATTTACCAAAAAATTCTCAATTAGGTGCGTAAAGTATTTGTGATGGATAAAAAAATCCAACTAAGATACACGATCCACAAGGTTGCTCAAGAAAAAAAAAAGAAAGAAGCTCAACCAAGAAACAAGATAACTCGTATCCAAACCAACCCAAAGCTTATGCATGTTTAATTTTGCACAAAGAAAAAAAAACAAGATAACTAAAAAAATAGACATGAGTTAAGTTAAATTAACTTCACTATGATGATAATGATACAAGTATTTAGTTAACTTCACAATGATGCAAAATCGATTAAAAAATAACTAAATAAATAAATAAAAACTGGCACTTACCGGCAGTTATACACAACATTGTCAATCAGATTGATGCCGCTTCTATGATCAATGATAGGCAAAAAACATTCATCAATAACAGCATGAGCAACAGCAATTTTGGAGTTGCTTTCAACCCTCTTAGCTAATTTGGATGGAGATCCAGATGGATCGTCAAAGCGCCGAATGATGCTCCAAGAATATCCAGCTTCCAATTCATTTTTAACCCCAATAAGCTTTTGCAACTTTTTGAACACCTAAAGAAATGACAATATTTGGATTCAATCAAATTGAATGATCGTTCAATTTCCACTAACTTCAGTTAAAAGAATTAAAAGAATGTTCTGCCACAAATTCTCATGTCCCCAAATCAACTTCAGGTAAGCCTTAATGCTACGTTTATGTGCAATGTCACACTTGTTAAATTACAAAAAGAGCAAGTGGATCCCCTAGCAACAGTCCCCTACTAAAAAAATTCAGAAGAATAGTAGTACAACACAAAAACAACAACGAAAAAAGGTAAATTAGTGAGTCAACATTTTGTTGTTTCAGCTTTCTTGCTTACCTTAGAGTGTTACATAATAACCTCGATTATGCATTACTTTCTAGCACTGTTCAGTTGATAGTTATATGCATCCCTAAGCATAAATAGATGGTTGTATGTACAAAAATTGCTATGTATGTGTGTTGGCAAATGGAGCAAATGTACATATCTCTATGCACTCATGAATACAAACATGAATTGTTCTATGGCTAATCATATAATGTACTAAAATGTATATAGAGGTGATTACCAATATATAACCAAAACCATGTTCATCTACCTTCATGCACCCTTCCCCCTACGGTTGCAGAAAAATAGACAAATATGACCCCAGTTTCTACTTAAAGCAATGCTAACTATGTTTATGATCGTAGATGATGAAATGCACTGGGCACTGAGCAGGTTCTCTGCAGTTAAAGTATTGATGGAAATGCACTTACCCAGTGAAAAAATAACAAATAAAAAAACTATGTTTATGATACGTAGCCCATCTTTTTCTCTGCATAAACTAAACAAAAACATGTCACAAAAAATATATAAAACATATTATGAAATGTATTCTAAAAAATGGCAGGGTTTCCACTTAAAGATAATAAAATAAATTCTCACTACAAAAGGTTCTGGAAATTTGAGCATTATAGATATTAATTTTACCTTTCGGCAACTTCCCCCACAAAATAGATTGGAAGAACCATCAGAAGTAGCAGAAGCATCATTATCAGCAACACACTCTTCATGATCTACAAAGAGTATGCGAATGTGAATAGACAAATAAACTACAAGTTTATGAACACCCCCTGCACTGTAGTAATAAAGAGCTATTTAACACAAGAAATCATGATATAACAGAAAAGCGCTTACATTTCTCCTCACATTGGGAGCATCTTAATAATGTAGACGCACTTTTACATGGAGAGGGAGAACTATGAAACATGCCACAGAATTTGCAAGAACAACTTTTGCAGTGCCAATCACCAGGAGGAAGCATCTGCATAGAGCAAAATCTTCTGTGTTAAAAACAAATACACAATAAACCAGGCAAACAATCATCAACAACAACAACAACAACAACAAAGCCTTAATCCCACTACGTGGGGTCGGCTACATGAATCCTTTTTCTCCATTGCGTCCTATTTAGTGTCATATTTTCATTTAGTTCTAGTAAATTAAGATCATTTTTAATACAATAAGCCCAAGTCTTCCTAGGTCTACCTCTGCCTTTCTTAACACAAGTCGAATTTAAAACATCTACTCTCCTAATCGGATCATCTAATGGTCGACGTTTAATATGACCAAACCATCTAAGACGACTTTCTCTAATTTTGTCTGTCACAGGAGCTACACCAACCCTATCACGAATATATTCATTCCGCATTTTGTCTCTAAGTGTAAAGCCACTCATCCACCTAATCATTCTCATCTCGGCAACACTTAACTTATTATTATGCTTCGCTTTTAAAGGCCAACCTTCAGCGCCATAGAGCATTGCAGGTCTCACCACCATCTTATAAAATTTTCCTTTCAGTCTTAGCGGTACTTTTCTATCACACAAAAGGCCCGAAGCATTCCTCCACTTCAACCAACCAACTTGAATTCTACTATTAACACCCCATCTATATCACCATCGCTTTGGACAACGGACCCAAGATATCTAAATCGTTCACACCTTTTAATAATTTGATCACCCAAAATCACACTTCTGTCACTAGAGCTATTACTACTAAAATTACATTCCATGTATTCAGTTTTAGTTCTACTTAAACGAAGGCCTTTAGACTCCAATGTAGACCTCCATAATTCAAGTTTTTCCTGGGCTTTTTCTCTCGTTTTATCCACGAGAAGAATAGCATCAGCAAAAAGCATACACCAAGGTACATCCTCTTGTAGATGTCCAGTAAGACCATCCATAACTAAAGCAAAAAGATATGGGCTTAAAGTCGATCCCTGATGTAAACCAACAGAAATAGGAAAATATTTTGTCAATCCTCCTTCAGTTTGAACACAAGTAACAGCTCTAGTATACATATCTTTAATGACTTGAATATAAGTCAAATCAACACATTTCTTCTCGAGAACTTTCCAAAGGATATCTCTTGGAACCTTATCGTAAGCTTTTTCTAAATCAATAAAAATCAAATGTAGATTCTCCTTATTATCTCTGAACTTCTCCATCAAACCTCTCAATAAATGTATAGCTTCCATAGTAGACCTGCCAGGCATAAATCCAAATTGATTATGAGAAACTTTTGTGATGCGTCTTCACCTATGTTCAATTACCCTCTCCCATAATTTTAAAGTATGACACATCAACTTAATTCCTCTATAATTTGCACACTCTTGTGCATCCCCTTTATTCTTAAAAATGGGGATCAAAATACTCTTCCTCCACTCCTCAGGCATTTTTTTAGTTTTTAAAATAGTTTTAAAGAGTTTAGTAAGCCAAGAAACTCCTAAATCTCCCAAATATTTCCACACTTCAATTGGGATATCATCAGGTCCTACAGACTTTCCACCCTTGGTTTTCTTTAAAGCCTCCTCAACTTCTTTTTTGCTAATGCGACGGTAAAAATGAAACGTTTTATTATTATTTACGATATTAAAATCACTAAGTTCGATCGTATTTTCAGAAACTTCATTAAAAAGTTTATCAAAGTAACTCACCCACCTATGTTGAATATCTTTTTCTAAGAAAAGTACTTTTTGATTTTCATCTTTAATACACTTTACTTGAGTTAAATCTTTACTTTTCTTTTCTCTTTGTTTGGCTAGTTTATACATATATTTTTCACCCTCCTTAGTATCTAATCTATTATAAAGATCATTAAAAGCAGAATTTTTAGCATCACAGATTGTTCTTTTAGACTCCCTGCGAGCCGTTTGATATTTTCTCCAGTTCTCTAAGTTTTTACAGGCAAACAATCATCAAGACAGCAAAAAGTTCAGAAAAAGTAAAATGCATGTCTTCGTCCACAGCCAAATTTTAACTCAAAAACATCAAATCAAACTCACCACAAAACAGTAAACTTAACAAGGATGTTCTGAAAGTATATATCTAAGAAAAAAAACCCATAAAAAGACCCCATTCCTTCCAGCACAGCTACGGTGCTAAAAATAGAGAAGGCAGGCAAGCCAGAAAAGAAGGAAAGATGGCTCTTTGAAAGTGCTTAATAAATCAAAACTTTGCTTATGTGGTATTATTGAAGTCAAAAGAAAAGATACCAAGGATAAAGCAAAAAAGAGGCCTGCTTTCACTTGTATGCAATCTAATGATTTCCCGACATTTCATGATAACATTAACTATTCAATAGTTCACTATAAAGATATTTTACCAACCTGAAGGCTTAAGCAGCTGAGATGGAAAGTTGAAGGGCACCCATCACAACAAATTAAGTCACCACCATCACCACAAATGGCACAGGTGTCATCATTTGGGTCGACCCCATCAGTATCTATATTATAAAAACCACGTATTTTATGCTCCTCTTGCCTTGCCCACGCATTGATTTGACAATGCAGAAGGGAGGCTCCAGACACCTCCACCAATGTGTTCTCATATGGCTGATGCAGCTTGCTGCCGGCATGAATCTCAAACTTTGGTACAGTGAGAATTTTACTGCAACAACTGCAGTGAATACCATCCCTTGTAATCCGTCCCTCAAGCAATGTTTTGTTCTGACTCTTGTTCATATACCTAACCTTTCCATAGGCTGGTAATACGCCCATATCTATCATCCATGAAAGAATTGTCCTTTTCCAAAGATACGGAGGATAATCATTCTTTTCTGATTCTTTATCTTGGTCCGCACCACCAACATCAGGACCGCAACCTCTTTTCCCTTTGCTTCTAACTAAAAGTTGCATTTTCTTAGCTGAGGATCCATCAAGTAACACACTCTTGCTTTGCCTTTTCCTGATTCTATTTTCTCCAACAACACCGCCAGATTCTTTATCTTCAGGGCAACTACCTTTGGTGGTTTCCTTCGCCTTTTTGCTTCTGCTAACACCCACCTTGTGTTTATCTTTGAGTGATTGCTTCTTTAATTTTCGTTTGTTGACCACATTCCTTCTCAATAAAGTTAAGACATCAGGATCGATGGCAGCAAACGAAGAACTTTCCCCCTCATGATTGTTAACAGCTCTAGAAGAAGCTTTAGACTGATTTGGGGGGCCTTCATTGTCATTACATGCGCTGACGAACTGCTTTCTGTAAACATCATACGCCTTAGTAATTGACCAATACCCAGTTCCTTGGGGGGAAACATACACAGCATCTTCATAATCCCTGCCCCTTCTGGGCCTTAATTCAATCGTCCATCCAGAATCCAAAAGAATAGTTTTAATCTGCTCCCTGACCTTCCTCTTAACTTCATTACGACTCGTACGTGATTCTTTTGCACCATGTTTATCTGGAGGAAAGCTTTTCAAACCAGAAGAACTCTCTCCATTCACAGCAGTGCTGTTTTCTTTTTGCATCGAATGCACATTCTCAGAACCTGTGTTCCCAAATTGTTGATCTGGCTTTGTTTTAATCCCATTTATGCTGCTTCTTCCTTCTGAAGAAACTTTTCCACTATGTTTGCCCAGCTTGATCGTGAATTTTGATTTCTCAGCATCTTGTCTTTCATCTTGGTCATTTGATTTACTCAACCTCCTGGTGTTTGAAGATGTCAGCTCCTCTATGTGACCTTCTGTATGGCCTCTAACACTCCCATTCCCAGAGAAACCAACCTTATTACCATGCAAAACCCTCAAAACACCACTTTTACCCTGCACCCTAATGTAATCATGTTGTGATCTTCCACCATTTTGCTCAGTTTTGCTATCAACCCGAGTAACTCCTTTATCTATTTGCTTTTGAAATTTTCTCGGATTAGATTGCTCAATGAAGCATCTATTTTCAGCCTTTCTCTTTATGCTTTTATTTGGATTGACATGAAAATTTCTCCCTGTCGAGTTGTCAATGCCCCTTTGTTTAACTTCTGCAGTTGCCAGCCTCGTGATACCATCCATACTATTATTCCTGTGCTTCATAGAGTCTAACTTTTTATTACTGCCTGCAGAAGTTTCAGCATGGTTCCCAACATGCTCTCGTTTTGATTTCATTTTACCAGCTATTGAATCGCCAGCTTCCATTATCCTCTTACTATCGGATCTAAAAACCCTCTCCTTGTCCGAGGCTTGGCGTATATCTTTATCCCGATTATGTTTCATGGCGTCCAGACTCTTATTACGACACCCAAATTTCTCAGTTTGCTTGCTATCAAAAACCACTGAATCAAATTTCATTTTCTTTCTTATTTCTTTCATATCAATTTGCTTGCTATCCGACACCACTGAATCAAATTTCATTTTCTTTCTTATTTCTTTCATACTATCTACCTCCCTCTGCTTCCCAACCGGCATCAACTCCAAAGCTTTCTCCTTGCTCTCCTCAATGCCCGATTTCGGCCCAATAACCTCAACTCTCGTCTCATTTTCCTCCTTTGCCCCACACTTCTCCTCTTCTCCGCTCCTACTGCAGCCGGCGGAACCACCAACATCCTCATCCTCATCCGCCTTTATCAATGGTTTAGAACTCACATACCAGTCTGTCTCCGAGTCGCTGCTCAGCACAAGCCGCCTCTTTCTCTCCTTCTTCGGCTCAGAGACCTTGGAACCACCCAAGGAAAGCTTCTCCTTCTCCATTGCCGATTTCGAAATCCAAAAACCAAAGCTTGCGTTCCAACTAAGACATCATATCCCACCAATCCTGTCACAGAAATTCAACAAAGACAAACCCTAAATCCAATAAATAAACACGAAAACGAACGAAAACGAAGGAAACATGGGAATCAAAAGAATCCAGCGTGCCTGGAAGATCAGCAATTCCCTTCAAGTTAAGAAAGGGATGATTTGACGAATAAATAAAGGGAAAATAATTTAAAATTACATTTCGAAAAGCGAGCTGTTGATCGTTTTGTGAAGAGATTTGGGTGTTTCCATTTGGTATTTGGAAACCGCCTCTTGCCGAGCCTATCTTGCCTGCGCAGCTGCCTTCCCCCTATTCCTCTGCTGCGGGTTCGCGGCTTCGCACCAAAGACGCAGGGGATTTTTTTGATTTGTTGCCTTGCTGGTACCTCTTCTTATTGGACTTTAGGATCCGTTCCTTCCATCCGCGGGCGAAGTCCGTTAGGGCAGATGCAGTTTTTTATTTATTTTTTTACACTCACTATTTTTATAAAAAACAATTGTAATTCTGATAGTTGTTATTATTTTATTTTGATAATAATTTATTATAGCTATGAAATATTAAGTAAATTTGTTTGTAAGAAATAGATTTTCATTATATTTTTTTTCTTAAATAAAGTTGACATACACCAATATTTTGTAAGGCCATTGTATGCATGAAAATTTGTAGTGGTAAAGTTTTATTTTAATATATTTGAGTTGTAGTTAATTGTAATTATACGAAGATACGAAGATCCAACACACACATAGATGATGAAAAAGTAACATGAGAAGGCATTGAGATTTTTTTTACGTAAGAAAATACTAGAAAGAAAGAAAAAAACATGGGGGCAAAAATATTAGTTAGTCACAGAGATTGTGGTTGGAAGTTATAACAGTGGCAATTGGACATAATGGTCGTAATTGGTGTCTGCAAGAATGTCAATTGGGCACATAAATCGCAGTTAGGAGCTATAACAATAGCAATTTGTCACAAAAGGTCGTAGTTGGTGATTGGACTCCTCTTATGACAAGGAGAATGTGGTTACAATTTTGCAAGAGAGATGACATTTGTTGGTATGCATCATAAAGAAAAAAAAACACGTGTTCGGAACAAAAGTCATATTCTAACTAAGATGGTCATAAGTAGTAGTCGTTAGTGGTCAGTGGACAACAATAGAAAGTGGTGACGTCCAACGATGAATGGTGGTTTACAGTGATTAGCGATTATGGAGGTAGGAGTTATATTTGGGTCTTCAATACGAGTGTTGGACATTACACCCATATTTGGAATATGGTTTTTGGAAGTAAGGTTTTTTGGTAAGTTAGAAGTCCGTGGTGGTAGAAGGTGACGATCGGGGTGGTCAACATGACCGACATGCTATGGTAACTGGTGATTGGTGGGACGATAGTTATTATGGGGTCTTCAATATAGGTGTTAGATATTACATTAATATTTTAGATATTATGTTTGCATGTCGAGTTACTGACAACAGCAGGTGGTGTGGGTGGTGGTGGATGGGCGACAGTTAGTCGACAATGAACGATGGTTGTCGGTGGCTATATCGGCTGGTAATTATTATCTGGTCTTCAATACATGTGTAAGACATTACAAACATATTTAAAATAAGTTGTTTGCTAGCAGGGGTTGTCGACAGCTAATGGTCAATGACAGTCGACCACAGTTAACGGTCACCGACAAGTAGTGATCAAAAGTGGTTGGCTGACGGTGGTCGATGGTGGTCGCTAACTATGGATGTTGAAAGTTATTGTTGGGTCTTCTCTCCATAATGAGCTATAAAATTCCTTTTCTTCTCCTCCTCCACAAGTGAGGAGATATGGTGTATTTATAAGCTTTTGGGAAGGTGAATTTTGATTTCTTAGCAACATAACTTTCCTAACCACCTCATCAGATTGCCCCGTTGATTCTACTTTATCATAAATCATTTTTTAATGACTAGAATGCCTGAATGATTGTTTTCGTTCATTTATCTTTTTATCTTTAAATGAGTCACCAGTTTGTCCATCGTCGTATATATTTTTTTTAATAAGTCTTTCTTTTACATCATGTGAATGAACAGGAGAATAGAGGAACCAGAAAAGTGTGACGTAAGACAGAGGCGGACAAACAATAGAACGAACCTGGAGAACCTTCGTGCATCAAATCTCGCTAGGATAGGTCGAGCACATACGTCCGAACAATATAAAATTGAAATAACTTGTGTTAAATATCCACGAACGAATGTTTGTAAAAGCTACTCAGAATCAAAGATTCAGGTGTGTTTGTCTGTTCTGGGGTCCAGAGTGCTTCTAAGGGGACATATCACACTTGGTTAATTACATCTTGGGGGTTGCCCAATAATACATTTGATCTAGGGAGTTTTGCTTCTATTTAAAGTGATAACTAACACATGACTATCAAAGAAAAGTTATTTTGCATGGAAACACTTTGATGCTTTCAAAGCTCTCACTAAATCACGGGGCAGGAAGTGAGTCTCTCACGGTTCCGCATGGGTAATGATACATCTAAAATATATAGTATTTTTAGACACATTTTTATACCTATTTTTGAGATATTGTGCTTTAATGGAAAATATTTGTGTGTTTTTCTTTTAGGTGCAAGTAAAAAGATGAAAAATGATAAAAGGTGTGAAATTAGATCAAATTTGGAGCAAAAATGTGAAAATGGTGCAAAAGACTTTTGGCACCTAAGTGCCAAATCCGGCGCTTAAGCGCCGGTGAAACAAAGAAGGTCGCGTCTAAGCACCGGAGGCCCCGCGCTTAAGCGTCAGAGGGGGTTATTTGACAGTTTAATTCATTTTGCCGAATTTTGAAGAGACATTTGAGGCACCTAATGGCTAAAGAGGGTGGTTATGACCACTAGAAACGAAAATATGATTAAAAGACTTGTGAAATGAGGCATCCTTTAGAGAATACATCGAATTGAGAATTGAAACACATTTTGAAGAGTCATTTTGAAGAGTTACCAAGGCACCTCTTGGAAATTTATAAAAGAAGAAAGTTTAGACTTTTTGAAGAGTCATGAAAAGTGCTTAAAAATGGGGAGTTCTGAGAGGAACGTTTGAAGAGATTTTCAGACACCACAAATTTACTTTATATTTTTTTTAGTTATATTGTGAGAGTCAAGAGTGTTGTAAATGAGAAGAGATTCAAAGGAACTTCAAAAGTTTGGTAGAGGAATTTGAAATAAGTTTTTATCTTTTTTTTTGAACTACTTGTGGTTTTAATTGAGACTTCTTGTTGGTTTGACAATGATTTATATTTTTAAACTAAAGTGTGATTTTATTTTCATTTTATTTTCTCCAAGTAGTTTTCTTTATCTTTCTCCTTAAAATGATAAGTAATTAAAGTGTTGGATGGAAGTTGTGGAGAGTATTGATCTTTAATGTTTGAAGAAGTTGTGAAGATTTAATTTCATGCACTTCATTTACTTCTTGATTTGACCCATCTAGATGTTAAAATTTGTTGTGAGAACATGTAAGAGTCGGGATGGTATTATCTCAGTCAATAATTGGAAAGAATCACATGAGGCTGTATGAATGAGAATGTAATTCATATTATTAATTGTAAATAAATAAAAAAATAATCTTTGAAGGGTGTAGAGTTAGAGGACTTTAAAGTGACAGGTTAAAACCCCCAACTTGGTTTATTATTTTTGGTTCTGATACGAGATATTAGCCCCCAGGAGGAGGGAATCAAGGGAACTCTAGAGTGAGAGCTGGTATCTTCCCTGCCTAGCCGGTCTTCAGAACTATTCAAACATTAAATCAGTCTATGCTCTTTATAGCATGCTCATATTTGGCACAACATATTTTGCATACTTCTACAATAAATATCCTATACTTATTACTGAGTCATGATAAGGAGAAATATATTTTTCATATCAAGTGTTTTTCTTTTACATAAACTCAAGTTATCTTTAGAAGTTTTATTGTTTTGTCAAAATATCAAAAATACCAAAAAGATTTGAATTTTACCTACTGTGAAAATATCTATACTTTAAGTAATTGTCTTTTTAAAATAGAAAGTTTGTTGATTAATAGTGCATATTGTGAAATTTCATGTGGGTTTGATATTTGGGGCTTGATCACAAAGTTTTATATTAATCGATAACGATACGTATACTTGTGTAGTATCTTAATATAAATATATATAAATTAAAAAGTTAATATCTTATTTTTCTTCACAATCAAGTTTTTAGTTTTATTGCAAAATAATGAAACTTAAGTGAAAAATACTATTAGAACTATTGCTATACTGTGCATAAGCATTAAATATTCATGGATGAAGTTTTTGGCTTCATATCATATAACAGACTCATTGGCATACAGAGCCTGCGAAAAATCTGAATCATCTCAACGGGAATCCCAATACATCAAAGTACATCCAGGCCATAAAGGTAAGCAGACCATCGAGATGATACCAACAAAGACAAAAGGATTGAGAGAGTTAAAAGTAGGTAGTCAGTGGAAGGGAGGAGTAATCCCTAACAGGTAGAAGTGGCCCGGTCGGGGCACCACAGAGTCATCATCCCAAGTCACTAAGACCCTAAGTCTACCTGGTTGTGAGATAGATTACCCAACATGTCCAGAGATCCCCGGTTAGAAATCCTTGAATTACATTATCTGCAGGGACCTTAGTAACTTATGTTCAAAGGAAGGAAACTATATTCTATGACTATAATGTAGAGCTTCAAGAGGTGAGACTTATAACCGTCGAAATGACAAGGACGTTGCTGAAAAAGAGGAGAAAGGGAGGTTCAACTATAAAGCTGGAAATGCCCCCCAACAAAAAGAACTCACACCCGTCCGGGTCTGGAGCCTTCTAACGGCCTAAAAGCACAAGACAACCACCCAAGTAGAAATCTATGTTGGGCCAGTCAGGTTGGAAAAGTATAATGACTTCTCGTCAAGGCATGCAAATGGTGAAATTATCTATAGCAGTCCTTAGATATTATAGAAGCCCTATTAATTATAACTTAGGATATGGTTATACATGATTAACCTAAAGGCCATGCAGAAAAGTAAAAACAGGTTTTAAAAGTCCCGAATCTTTTAATCCTAAATTTTAATTTATCTTGAAATTTTTATTAGGATTTTTTTATATAAATTTACAATTTTAAAGTTCTAAATAGCCTAAATTGTAATTTTCACAACATCCCTGATAAGCCTTAAGGAAACAGAGAAAACAACCTAAACATGTAATCATGCAAGAAAAGCACTAAAGCTAGCCAAGTAAAATAATGAAACTGTCAGTGTCGCTGTGTCGGCGACATATCTCAGAAAAGAAAAAGTCGATCGAACTTCACATATCCCGATGTTGACTTCACTTTTGGTTGAGGTTTAGTTTTTCTTCTTTAGTAGCCTAAGGTCTAGCCATAGAACTTTCTTACTGACTGTTCTTACAAAACTAGAAAAAGAACCCTCACCATTAAAAATTTTACACTCCTCTTCACTCAACTTGAAGTTCCACATATTGGTCCTAACCTCTAACACTTAGTAGGTGGGGTCATTATAGGGGAACTCAAGATGAGTCACCCTTAGGACTGCTGGACCTTAGGGTTGACCCTGGGTGTTGGTCTAGGGGCTAAGGCACTCACTTGCAATCACATATACTCACAATCACTCACTACCCTAAGCCCAAAATTTTTAGGTTTTGGTCCCTTGATACTTTTGGGAGACTCCTGTTGGTGGTCCCCTAAACCCATTAGCCCTGGCTAGGGTTTGACTAAGACCACTACATAGAGAACCCAAAATGGGTTTTCATTGGTCCATGGCTTATTGATGGTGGTTGGCACTCCAACTCTACTAAGATACCCAACCTAACATTTTGCCCATAAATTCCCTCAAATTACCTAGATACCTTTTGAAACCCCAAATTTGGCCAAAATTCCCAAATATGCCCAAAATACCCAACTTGGTTCAAAAATCATTTCAAGCACCTTGAAAACACCCAAACTACCCAAAATCACCAAAATTGGCCAAATTACCAAAATACCCCCCCTTATCCCAAAATTCCAAAAAATCCCAAAAACTCTCAATACCCCCCAAATATTCCCAATTTCATTTTTCTCAACTATCACATGACTCAATTTGGTCAATTTGTGCATCTTTGATCAAAACCCCCAAATTGTCCTTTAAAGGCCCATATTTTCCCCAAATCACTCCAAATGTTTATCAAATCGGTCTCACTTTACCCCAATTTCAATTCTAAACTCAAATTCACTCTTGATGTGACCAATCTAGATCAAATTCAAGCTCAATTAGTCCATTATTTGAACCCAATTTTGATTTAGATCAAAACCCTAATTTTGGCCCCATGACTTGGTTCCACCAAATTGAACCCATAGCCCACTCAATTGGCCACAAATTGTGTTGAAAAACCTTCATAACATCCCCATACATCAAACTTGACCTTCAATTGGCCATGGTGAGGCCTCAATTTCATTTGATTTCAACCTAAGTCCAAAAGCCCCAAATTTGCCCCAAATTGGCCATGTCTCAAAATCTCACCAAATTGATGGCCTTAGCCACAAAATTTCCACTCCATCCCTTCATAAAAAATCTTCAAAACATCTCCTTTAATCATTTGAACCATTAAATTTGGACTTAGCCCAAGCCTAGCCCAACTTAGACCCATGTCTAGCCTAACATGCCCAAATTGACCAAATTTCAAAAATCCCTCAAATTGACCTACCAATTGAACTCAAAATCACTTCAACCCTTCACCAA